AAATGCCTTCTTGTCTGGACATCCATCATCCTATGTGATTAGAGTGGCCAATGGGACATCAAAATGCCATTTTACTTAGGGTCTCTTGGCTTGCCTGAAAAAAGGCAGCATTTTTCTGACAGTGGAGAGGGAGGCAGGCGGTTTTCCTTGGGTAAGCCTCTCCCTTCCCCTAAGGTCGAACCCAGCTCTTACCCTAGCTGGCCACTGGAGACAAGAGTACACTCAGGCAAAGACCAGAGTGGATCCTCCAAGGTCACTTAAAACAAGTGACCCATCCATAGCAAATGTGAACCCTCAGTATTTGAGAGTCCAGCCTTAGATTAGCAAGTGTTCAGTTTTGGGGAGAACCCACCGAGGGCTTGAGAGGAGGACCAGAGCTCTCCACTCCAACGAACAGCAGCTGCCTTCTGCTTGGTATCCTGAGCGAGGGCGTAGGTGGCCTCCTGCCCCGGTGGAACAAGAGCCCTGCCTTGAGCATGCAGGTACTATCTGGCCATATAAGGCGGGGAGCAGTTGTTTTTCTATTTCTCATTAAGCATGCCCTTTCATCCTATCTCTTTTCTTAAATTTAAATAAGCCAGCTTCTTTTAGACAGTGTGTGAGTTTCATTTTTTCATCCTGTCTGACAGTCTTTGCCTTTTAATTGGATACTTTGTCCATTTGATAAAATTACTTGTATAGTTGGGTCTAAATCCATTATCTTTATTTTTTTCCTACTTATTCCATCTGTTCTTTGGTCCTTTTTTCTGTCTTCTTTTAGATTAATCCACTATTTCCAAAATTATTCTGTTATTATTTCTCTATTAGCTGTTTAAGTATACCTTTTGTAGTATTGCTGTAATGGTTACCTTAGAGATTGTAATGTATACTCTTGACTATTGCTACTTCCTGTGAAAAATCTTTCATTTCCCCTTCCCCTGTTCATACTGTTATCGTGCATTTTATTTGTACATATGTTGTGTCTTCCCACACAACATATGCACAAATAAAATGCACGATAACAGTATGAACAGGGGAAGGGGAAATGACTGTTTCTCTAAGCAGTCATTTTCCTTTTGTATTTACCCACACATTTACCATTTCTGGTGCTATTTATTCTTGAAGTTCTAGGATTCTGTCTATAATCATTTTATTTCAGCTTGAAGAAACTCCTTTACTTCTTACAGTATTATCTACCACTAATAAATTATGCTTTTATTTTATTTATTTATTTATTTATTTTGAGTTGGAGTCTCATTCTGACGCCCAGCAGACTGGAGTGCGGTGGCATGCCCCCAGCCACCGCAACCTCGACCTGCTCAGCCTTTCAAGTAGCTGGAACTACAGGCACATGCCACCACACCTGGCTAATTTTTTTTTATTTATTGTAGAGACGAGGTCTTGCCAAGTTGCCCGGGTGGATCTCGAACCTGCAGGCTCAGGCAGTCCACTCACTTCGGCCTCCCTAAGTGCTGGGATTACAGGCTGAGCCACTGAACCCAGCCAATTATGCTTTTATTCATCTGCAAACATCTTTATTTTGCCTTAAAATGTAAAACTATCATGGGTATAGAATTCTTAACTGGCAGTTTATTCTCTTTAAGCACTTAAAAAAATCATTCAATTGTCTTCTGGCATTCCTATTTTCTATTGAGAAGTCAGTTGATTTTTTGAAAGTTTGTTTTCTTTTTTTCTGACTGCTTTTGGTTTTCAAAAGTTTGGCAATAATGTGCCTAAGTGTGGTTTTTATTTGTATTTGTCCTGCTGGGAGTTCACCAATCTTGTGAATCTATGGGTTGATTTCTTTCACTAGTTTCGAAAAATGTTAGGTCTGATCTTTTTTTGATTTATTGTAGAGATGAGGTCTCACCAAGTTGCCCAGGCGGGTCTTGAACCCACAGGCTCAGGCAGTCCACTCACCTCAGCCTCCCAAAGTGCGGGATTACAGGCTGAGCCACCGAGCCCGGCTAGGTCTGATCTTTTCAGTGTAGCTTCTGCACTCTTCTCTCTCCTCTCACAGTGGGGTCCATTATATGTTTGACTTTGTCCCGTGTGTCCCTCATGCCCTATCATGCTCTTTCTGGTTTTTTTTTTCCATCTGCATTTTGGATGAGATGTTTTCTACTGACCTGCTTTCCAGTTTATGAATTCTGTCTTCTGTATGCAGCCTGCTATTAAATCTATTCAATTAGTTCTTTTTTTGCTTTTGTTTCTGTTTAAAAAAATTTTTTTTAATACAAACTTTTGTGTTCAGGGCTAACTTTCAATAGATCGCTGTGAGGGAGCTACTTTGTTACATATGAAACCCCAACCAGAAGCAGGTCATCTATGAATGGTTAAGCACCAGGTCAGCCACCTTTTCCATGTCCCAGGATGAGGGCTCTCTGCACCGGACCCTAGTCCTGACACACAGTGGGGGGCATCCTACCATGGGATGGGGCATCTTGCCAGCAGGGACAGGGGGGACCAGCTATCTGAAGCCATCTGAGGCTCCATGGTGCTGCTGTATCATTCCACCTGGGTGGGATCCTGACTTAGAAGCGTTCAGTCATAATCCCACAGATGGTAGCTTCGTCCCATTGGCTCCTCAGGCAAGCACATACACCAAGTGTCTGAACTGGTGCAATTAGTTCTCAATTTTGGAGACTGTATTTTTTAAGTTTTAGAACAACCATTTGCCATTGCCATTGAAATTCTCTTTCCTCCTATTTTCTTTATATTTTTAAAATTTCAACTTTTTAAGCAATAGTTATTTTAGTGGTTTTATCTGCTGACTCTAGTGTCTGAATATTCTGAAGGGTCTGATTCTAATGCCTGTTTCTTCTTTTGGTTATCAGTTATGTCTTCCTGCCTTTCACATGTCATATATGTAAAAAAAAAAATCAAAACAAACCTTTTCTGGACTTTGTGTACTGTAGTAACTGAAACTGACATTATTTCCACCCAGAGCATCTTCTCTTTCCTCTCCATGGGGATGATCACCTCAATCCAATCCGAAATTGAGCTGGGCTGGGGCTAAATGGCAACTGTCTCCAGTTGACAAAAGGGTGACCCTATTGTTTCTGTTGCAGGTTCTTCACCCCGTGGGAATCTGTCTCCCAGTGGTCTCATTCTGCTTGTCTAGCCCAGCCTCTACAACCGCAGCCTCCCCAGTGCTCAGCAAATGTCCTGAAAGGAGAAACAGCTGGGCATTTAGGATCCCATTAGGCCCATTAGACATAACCCATCATGCCAGCACAGCAGATGTCAGAGGCTCTGCTGCATCCCCTGCTCAGTCGTGCCCGATTCTTGCTTAAGCCTGTGCCAGGCTCAGGAATGCCCAGACAAGAGAGCAGCTCCCAGTCTCAGCTCTTGGAAAGACTCTTCCCTTTCTATAGTTTTAGTTCATCTAGTCCTCTTTGCTTCCACAGCTCTCTAATCTAGTGATTTCTTTCTTTCTTTTTTTTTTTTAAGCCAGGCTGGAGTACAGTGGCACACTCACAGCCAATGCAGCCTTGACCTGCTGGGCTCCGGCGATCCTTCCGCCTCAGCCTTCCAAGTAGCTGGAACTACAGGCATGTGCTACCATGCCCAGCTTATTTTTTGATTTATTGTAGAGGTCTCACCAAGTTGCCCAGGCTGGTCTTGATTCCTGAGCTTAGGCAATCCTCTCACCTCAGCCTCCCAAAGTGCTGGGATTACAGGCTTGAGTCACCATGCCCGGCCACTGATTTTTTTAAAAATGATTTTGTTAACCATCTGTTGTATTCTTAATTTTAAAAATTCTGAGCCGGGCTCGGTGGCTCAGCATGTAATCCTGCGCCTTGGGAGGCCAAGGTGAGTGGATTGCCTGAGCCCGCGGGTTCGAGACCCGCCTGGGCAACTTGGCAAGACCGATCTCTACAATAAAAAAAAAAAAAATCAGCCGAGCGTGGTAGCGCGTGCCTGTAATTCCGGTTACTTGGAAGGCTGAGGCGAAAGGATCGCCGGAGCCCAGGAGGCGAGGCTGTGGTGGCCGGAAATGGCCACTGCACTCCAGTCTGGGCGACCGAGTGAGACTCTAACTCAAAAAAAAAACAAAACAAAAAAGTAAAGATAAGATTGAAAAATAATTCATTGCATTTCTTGGCTTCTCAACATACAACAGCATTGTTTTGTTTCATACTAACAATTTAACATACTTACACAGCATCATTAACCATTATGTAGAATCATATTATCTAATAATATTATTTATGAAGTCACCATTTCCACATCAATTTCTTGGCTTTTGGACTTATATAATCTATATCTAAGATAAACAGCATTACACAGCCGGGCTCGGTGGCTCAGCCTGTAATCCCGCGCTTTGGGAGGCTGAGGTGAGTGGATTGCCCGAGCCCGCGGGTTCGAGACCCGCCTGGGCAGCAAGACCTCATCTCTACAATAAATCAAAAAATCAGCCGGGCGTGGTAGCACGCACCTGTAATTCCGGCTACTCGGAAGGCTGAGGCAGAAGGATCACTGGAGCCCAGCAGTTGAGGCTGCAGTGGCCAGGAGCGGCCACTGCACTCCAGTCTGGGCGACAGAATGAGACTCCAACTCAAAAAGAAAAAAAAAAAAATTCTGCATTGGGAAAATGGCCTGCTCCTCGCTATTCCCTGCTCAGAAACAGGACTCCAGTTCTTCTCTTCACTGCCTCCCCGCCCCCATCCCACATCTGATGGGTATCTGGGTGTCTGGGCACTTTATGCCACTGCCATTTTACACATGAGGATCTGAGCCCAGCTGAGGACCAGATGGTCCTCTCCCCATCACCCTGCCTGTGGGGCAGGGCACTGGAGGCCTGAGTACCAGCGTGTCCTCCAGCCAGTGTATGGCTCATCCAGTTTTTTGTTGAGTACCCGGCATAATGCCTGGCATACGGTGGGCACTCCATGTCTGGGTGAATGTGTGGAGAGATGGGAGCTGCCGACTGACCCCTGAGAGTGGAGAGGAAGGGAGAGGCTCAGAAGAGGGGGCATGCCCATCCTTGTTCTGAGCACGGCCTGGTCCAATTGCAGGAACGTTTGGCTTGAGAGTGTGGAAAAGGCTACAGGATGCCTGTGATGGTCCCTGTGAGCAAAGAGCAAGCCCAGAGGACAAGGCCTACTCCGCTGGCGCTGCCCACAGGGCCTCCTGCCTGTAGCCGCAGTGAGTGAAGACAGCCTGCTGGGTCTTCTTGGCCTGAGGAGGGAGCTGCTGCGAGCACCCCCTGCCCGGGTCCCAGGAAGCTTCTCCTGGGTCCGGGAGAGCCGGCACGGTCAGGAAGGGCCCTCAGGGGCCTAGGGACTTGGGACATGCAGGCGACTGGACTCTGCAGGTGGAAGCCCTGGCCCCATGTGGCCCAGCCCAGCCGAAGGGCTGAGTGGTGAAGGTGGGGTGTGGAAGCCCCAGTGCTCAGATAGGCCTGCCTTGAACCGGGCTGTGGCCAGAGCTGGCTTCTCAGCAGAGGCCCTTTCCACATGGAGGGGCGTGTGAGCCACGCCCAGAGCGCTGGTCCCGGGCAGACATTCGTGCTGCTTCCCCAGTGGTGGAGAGAGCAGGCTGCCTGCTGCTCATTCTTGCAGCAGAGTGGTTCCTCCTCTACCCACCCCATCCACTCCAGCCACGGGGCTGATTGCGTCTCAAGACAATTCTGGTTCATTCCAAAAACGTATCGAGATCCTGCTGACTCGCAGACCTTGTGCTAGGTTCTAGAGGCCTGAGTGGTCCATGGAGGGTCTTCATAGGAAAGGAGATGTGGAGTGGGGTTTTGACATATAAATAGAAGTTTGCCAGGCACCTACAGAGTCTTTGCGGCCCCTGTGCTTCCATTAAGGCACACAGCTTAGCAGTCCTGGGAGGGGATGTCAAACAAGGCAGAGGTGAGGGGTGGGGGTGGGGAGGGTGAGCGTGTTTAAACATTCCACAGGGGAGGTTCAGGCAAGGCCAGACGGAGCGCCAGGTTCCCACGGAGGAGGCACAGGTGGTGGGAAGAGGGCAGGATTCGCAGCATCAGCTGAATCTGGGCTCTCTTGCTCAGTGGTGGGCCTGGGGGAGCATGTGCCCAAGAGAACCAGGCCCAGGCAGGGGAGACCCTCTTGGGGCTCCTGCAGGGTTACCCGTCTTGTGGCAGGGCCACCCTGGGAAGAAAAGCTTCTCGTGCAGGGAAGAGCGGGCTCTGGCAGACGCCCTGGAGTACCAGCGCCGGGAGCAGGCAGTGCTGATGGCCCTCCTGTATGGGAAGGCAGACACAGAGGCCAAGGCGTGGGCCCGGCTGCAGAAGATGTCCCCGATGTCCCCGTGGGCCGGAGAGCGCTCCCTGGATGACATCGAGGACAGCTGGAGCGAGTGGGAGTCCAGGGGCAAGCAGGTGAGGCCGCCCGAGAGCAAGGAGAGGGCTGAGGGGCTCCCTCGGGCCTCACTTGCAGTGTGCCTCCTGCAGGCGAGCAAGGTCTTGGGGGCAGCGTCTAAGCCCAGAGAACGGCCGCGGAGTGCAAGACTCCTGCCCACCCACGTGCGCTACGGCTAGATGAGGCAGCAGGTGAGGCTGGTGCTCCTGCCTCCAGGGGCCACCCTTGTGTCCGCGTGGCCCTTTGCTGGCAGATGGGAGCCCAGGATTCTGGGCCACAGACAGCTCTGGCTGAGGCTGGCCGGCTGGCTTGTGTGTCAAGGAGGCCATCAGCACAGCCTTTGTTCCTGAAGACGACCCTCACCGGGCCTGTAGGATGAGGTCCTCCTTGGGCCTGGCCCTGTCCATGGCCTTCAGAGCACCTCCCAGAGGCTGTGACTATTCACTGCTGACCCGTGTCCCCAGTACTGTGGGCACCCAAGAGCAGACAGGGTGTGGTGCCCGGCAGGCAGTGAGAGGTGGAGTGGGTGGAGAGAGGAGGCACAGGGACCAGAAGGACAGATTCAGTCACGTCCTCCCAGCCTCTCCCTCATTGCATGGAGGCGTATCAGCACTTTCCCTCTGGTGGGACTGGGAATGAGATGGCGCAAAGGCCATGTCTCACGGGGCTCCGTCCTGGGCGGGGGAGAGGTCCAGGAGAGACAGATTGCTCCGGAGCTCTGCACCCAGGCCTGGCCCAGGGTCCAGCTTGTGGCCTTGTCCTAAGAAGGGTGCCCACCTGGAGCTGCTGCGGGCACTGGATGACGCGGAGAGGAGGGCTGGGGGCTGGACCTGGGGCAGTATGGTCACGCGGCCCGCATGGCTGCTCCGGGACGTGTTCTGCACGGGGAGCCTGGCCGCCTCCCTGTGCCCCGCTCTGGACCTGGGCGGCCTGGCTCCACTGTACCCTGCCATCCTCCCTGGCTGTCCTGCAGATCTCGCCTCAGATCTACCAAAGCCTGCACTTCAAGGAGCTGACACCCGTCCGGCAGCCCGCCTTCCTGAGCAACAGGGCCCCGGATCAGCAGGACCGGTGTGTCCGCCTGGTGTCCCCCGCTGTCCAGAAGGACCTGGAGCCTGGCAGGGAGCAGGGCTCACCAGATGCCCCTGTCGGCCTGCCCACGGCACCCTCCTTCCTGTCCTCTTCACTGTCCCCGATGGCCTTGGCCTCCAGGTTGCTGGACTCCAACCTGCCTCCCTTCCCCAGGCCCAAGTCCTCTGTCTCCTTCCCACGGCCCTGGTCAACTTCCCTGGCCCAGTCCACCCCCTGGGCCTCCTCCCCAGTGTCCAAGTCGACTCTGCAGAGGTCAATGACCCCTGCGCCTGTCTCCACCTCCCTGGAGCAGCCCCCAAGTCCTCCGAAGGGCACCCTCATGTCCCCCCTGAAGCAGGGCTCCCGCGTCAGGCTCTGAGGTGCCCCAGCTTCCTCTCCAGTCCTCCAGGAAGGTGTCCAGGGCCATGGGGATCCTGTAGGTCCCTGGCTTGTGCCCTGCCAGGCCCAGAGGCTGAGACCCTCCCGCAGCAGCTGCCCCACCCTGTTCTTCTGGGGTGGTGGGCCTGACTTCCAACTTCTCTCTGGCTCAGCTCTGAGTCCTGGATAAGAAAGTAAATGCTCTCCACTGTGGGAGTCCCAGAGGCGATGAGGTTGGGCTGTGTGTCTCCACCCCTGCAGGTCCCTGCTTCCCTCTGAGACTAGTCACTCCCCCGGTCTGCCCGGAGCAGAGGCCCAGAGGAGGGTCCCTCCCCCAGCACGCTTGGGTGCCCTGGCCAAAGCACAGGGGCAGAGCTTCATAAGCCTCATGCAACTGAAGGGGGCGTGGTGGGCAGGTCATACGCTCTGGCCGCTGGCTCAAAGACTTGTTCAGCCTTGGGCAGAAGCAAGGCCCAGAGCCGTAGGGTGGTGGCTGCTGCTGTTTGTCCCCTGCTCCCGCTGTCCCTGTCCTCCCCACTGAGGTGCCCTGTCCCTTGTGCAGGACAGGCCTGGAGGCGTGCTGCGTGTTCCTGCCTGGCTCTGCACTGTCTAGCCTGAAGCACCTCCTGGTCTCTGGGCCCGTTGTTCCCCTAGCCCAGAGGCAGCGTCCAGGCCTCTGCTGGGCCTCCAGCTCTCTCGGCAGCCTGACACCCTGTTCTGGGATGTGGAGCTTCTGGACACAGACCTGCAGCCTGTGGGGAGCCGGGTGGCCCACTGCTGCCGCCCCGTGGTGGCCTCCATGCCATCCTGGGTGTGGGTGTGCCTGAGTAGCTTGGAGCAGGCCTGGGGTTCTGGAAATCCCACGGACCCTCCTGCCCAGCCCAAGGCTCCTCCCTGAGGGTGTATGTGTGGCTTCTCATCTCTCTGCTCTCTTCTCCCTTTGCCATCTCTCTGGCCGGGAGTCCCTGTCATCTGGGCCTTTGGCCTGGGGTCACTGCATCCTCACTCCGTGAAGCAACTGTGGGCTTGGTTCAGGGACACCCTGGAGCCAGGCACATTGAGACCCAAATCCACCTGTGGGCTGTGCACAGCCATGCCTCTGGTTCATTTCCCAGGGGTGCCAACAGAGCACCACACACTTGGAGACTTTATACGGCAGAGAAGTGGTCTGGAGGCCAGAGGTCCAGGCCCTGGCAGGGCATGCTCCCTCTTCCCAGCTTCTGGTGTGGCCGGCAGCCCTTGGCGACATCCGTCTCTGCCCTTGTCAGTGCCATTCTCTCCTCGGGTGTCTGTCTTCACCTGGTGTTCTCCTCCCTGTGTGTGTGTGTCTCCTCTTACAAAGACACTCAGCATTGGCTAGACCCGGTGGCACATGCTTGTAATCCCCGAACTTTGGGAGGCCAAGGCGGGAGGATCACTTGAGGCCAGGAGTTTGAGACCAGCTTGGGCAACGTAGCAAGACCCCATTGCACAAAAAAAAGATGTAAAAGAGGTCAGGAGCATGAGGCCCCATTGCCCCGAGCCCCCCGAGCCACCTTCCCTGGGAGGAGTGACTCCCCTGGGACTCCTGCACGTGCATCCTCAGCTTCTAGTGCCTTCTTACACAGGCACAGCATGGTGATGGGCCTGCCCTGCTCTGGCGTGACCGCATCTTAGCAACCCATTTCTGGTCAGGCCACCTTCTGAGGATGGGGGTGAAGACATCAAAGATATTTTGGAGGATGCAGGTGAATCTGGAACAACCCTCTGGGCAGGGAGAGCAGAAGTGTGTGTGCAACGTGGAAGTTTACTAGGTCCGGGGCTTGCAGTTTTGCAGCCCACCCCTCTTCTCAAGCCCCGCCATTCTCCCAGGAAACCTCATCTAGGACCCAGCAGTTAGATCTAAGCCGCCCTCTCCTTCCCATGGGCTGGGGCTCCCAAACTGGGCATGGCACTGGGGGCTGCACCAGCCTCTTCCACCCCCACCGGAGCCCCTTGTGGGAGCTCTTTCTGTGTCAGCAGAGGGATGGAATTCCCCAGCTCCCTCCTTCCTACAGTTGGAGGGAGGGAGAGCCTGCCTTTATCTGGCACAGACCTGAGTACCAAACAAGCATCTGCTCATTTAACCTCCGACACTTCATGGAGTGGATGTGGCATTATCCCATCTGACAGAGGAAGAAACAGAAGCTCAGAGAGGTGGAGTTGCTTGCCCAAGATCATACAGCCTGGAAGTGGGGGGAGTTTGGATGCCGGCCAGTTCAGCAGTGTCTGTATGTAACCACTGAGCTGTGCCCGGTGGAGCTGGCCCTGAGGCCTGTCCGAGGCTCTGGACTCAGTCCCCAGGAAGAATGACTCCTGGGCCCTTCCACACACCCCCTCCACCCCCATGCTGCTGCCCTCGCCTGGCCCAGCCTGCCAAGGTAGGAGGGGAGTATCCCCGCCATGCCTCATTGGCTGACCCCAGAGGCTGGCCTCATCTGACCAGGGTGCCCAACTGAAGCGCCAGCCCTGGATGCCCACACCTCAGGGTGCTGCTGCACCATTGCTGAGCCTGGCGTGGTCTTGTGGATTTAGAAAGTGGGTCGTGGGACCGGGAGAGGGATGCAGTCGGACCGGAAGGAGGCACAATGGGCAGGGGCCGGGCTGGCTGTGGTCTCTCTTGAGGGGCACAAGCAAGAAGCTTCTTACCAGGCCACACTCCATCTCCAAAGCCCTTGTGGCCATCAGCTCATCTGAGCCAGACAACTGCTTTCTTAGACATTCACCCCATTTTACAGTGGGGCAAACTGAGGCTCAGGTTTCACAGCTGGAAGCGGGTAGGGCGAGGCGCTGAACCCAGGTTTTTCTGAGCCACAGCCCTCCAGTCCTTTGTTGCATCCTGCTCTGGACAGCATCTCAGGTGAATTCAGGGAGAAGGGAGGTGTGTGGACAAGGTGGTGATGATGGCCCAAGGTCAGGCCTGGGGCTGCTCTTCCTCGGCCTGGGGGCCTCAGGACGGGCACTGGGGAGGGGAGGAGGGCTTGGCAATGACCCAGGCCTCTGCCCAGCCCTGACCTGGGGCAGCGGCAGCTGGCGAGGCCTTGAGGTCCTGACTGGCTCTGGGCCTTGGGCCTTCTTTTCGGATTCTGTGCCAGGCGGGCGGGTCTTGGATTGGTAGTGGTGGGAAGGGGACCGTGTTTCAGCCCAGGGAATCTGCAGCTGTGAAGGTCTGGGGTGGGACAATAAGGAGGGTCCCTTCCACCCAGGAGTCGCTGTCCCCAGCTCCCAGAAGGTCTGGAGCTGGCTTGGGGCGGTGTTGCTGGTGGGCAGGGCCCTTCCCGGTGTCTGTGGAGCCCGTGAGGACATGCAGGCTGCTCCGAGTGGCTGTGGCCCGTTGCACCTCACCCTCAAGGGTGGCACCACTGGTGCCCTGGCTCTGGGAGTGAGCCAGAGACTCCCGAGGACATACAGCATGCCACACAGGCCTCTGACGGCACAGGCCTGGGCTCAGAGGGGTGGTTGCGGGGGCTCTGGGTGTCACAGTAGCACCTGAGCCTTGAGGCAGCTGCTTCTAGGCCAGAGCCAGTAAGTCAGCCTTGGTGGGGGCCAGAGGGGCGGGTCTTCCTGCAGAGGGAAGACAGCTGAGAGGGAAGGGGGAGCCTGGGGTGGCTTGGCAGAGTCAGCAGAGGGAGAGAAGTGGTTGTGGCTGGGCACACCCTGAGGGCCGGGGTCTCGCAGGCTTCCATGGAGGAACCCTCTCACCTGTTTTGAAGAGTGACAGGAAGCGGGAGGCTCGACAGGATTGCATCTGTGAGTGGGAATGGACCCCAGGGCAGTGACATAGGGCAAGGCCTGGCCATGGGACTCGGTGTGCTGGGGAAGCTCGAGCTTCTCTGGGCTGCTGCTCCTTCAAAAGCAAGGTGCCCACTAGGGAGGGAACACCCTGGTGGAGTGAGTCCGGTCAGGCCCCTGGCCTGTTCCTGAGGCCAGGAAGAGAAGAGTCCTTCCCGGGAGGGGACCCAGGTGGGTGGAGATCCCAGGCTGCTTCTGAGTTTGGTGGGGGCAGGCAGTGGGGAAGACAGCGTCTGCCCTGTCACACGTTTCGTGTGTGTTTGTCCCCAAGCTCCAATGAGTAGGTCATTCTAGCCCACTTTACAGATGAGAAAACAGGCTCAGAGGGTGGTGACTTGTCCAGGGTCACCCAGCTAGGAAGTGTCACAACTAGGATTTTAATCAGGGCTGTCCGCTGTTCCAGATGCTCAGGATTTGGGGGTGCTGTGTTTGGGTGGGTGGGCAGGCAGTGAGTGCCCTTTGAACACAGGATGGGCAGACGAGTTGTGGGAAGATTCTCGACAGGAGAACCCTCCCTCCTATAGCAGGCAAGGTCAAAGGCCAGCCCACGCCCTGCCAGCCCAGCCTCCTGCCGGTGTGCATCCAGGTCCTGAGCTCCAAAAGCAGCCAGGATTCCCACCCACCTGGTGAGCCCGGGGCCCTTTGACTCCACTCACGCCTCCCCAGTCTGCTTGCCACCTGCCTCTGCAGAAATGAGGACCGACAGTTCCTAAGCACTTACTACGTGCCAAGCGCTGTTCAAAGGACTTTCATCCCCACAACAGTTTTAAGTAGGTGCTAATATTATCTCAGTCTCCTAGGCAGGGAGACAGGCACAGAGAGGCGACATCCTTTGCCAAAGGTCATGTAGCTGGCTCGTGGTAAAGCTGGGATTTGAACCCAGGAAGGAGGCTGTCTGACTGCAGGGCCTGGTCTTTTTTCAATATTTGATGTTTTAAACTACACCGTGTTTTTTCTATTTAAATAGCTGATGTTTTCATCTTGAATCTCTGAGGCTATGAACTATTATTGTTACTGCTATCATTCTTGTAGGGCCCAGAGCTGGCGAGAGTGGCAGGGACTTAGAGAGGAGGGTGTGCTGATACAGAGCTTGGTGTGCGGGCAAGGGTTTCCTTGGGGCAGCGGCGGAGGGGGGGGGCAGGCTGAGCACATGGCAGGTGAGGAGAATTCCATCAAAATAGGGAGAACAAACAGATGTCGCACCCAGAGTGAATCCATGGTCACCAGAACTTGCTATGGACACACAGCCACAAAGTGGTGCCTGCAGTGTCCCTGCAGCGTTTGCTGAGGACGTTGCACCTCCTTCCATGGCTTAGTGGCTGAGTCTCGCCAGGGCCTCAGGACGGCTCCTGCCAGGCAAGATGATGACTCCATTTCATGGATCTGGAACCAAGGCTCGGAGGGAAACTGAGGTTCAGAGGGGCACAGTGACTCCTCTTCTGAGCTTCACCCCCACCGGGGCACAGTTACTCCGATTTCACAGGCCCGGCTGCGCTGAAAGCCACACAGGACTTCTGGAGTGATCTGCTCATGTTGAGGCAGAGGCAGGGCTGACACCCAGGGCCTGGCATACTCAGGTTTCAGAGTTGCCGCATCTTTGTCCTGTTGGTAGAACCACAGGAAGAAAAGGTGCAAGGACGTGCTTTATGCCTGTGTCTTCCACAGATGTGCTGGGTGCCTCCAGGCAAGTTCTGTACCTCTCTGGGCCTCCGATTGCCATGCAGGGCTTGAATTAGATCAGCATTTCCCAAAGTGAGGACCTTGAACTATGCATAGCATTAGAGGTGATTTTAGGTAGTACAAAGATGTGAAGTTAAACAAGAATTGAGGCACTATGAGAGCAAACTTTCTTTTTTTCTTTTCGGTTTTCTCTTTATAATTAATTTGTGTAGTGTAGAGTTGGTATTTCCTTCTTAAATGTTTGACGAATTTCACCACTGAAAACTTGTGGACTTGAAATCCAATGCCTTTGATAAATAACTGTTTATAGTTTCTATTTCTCCTTGAGTCAGTTGTAGTCACTTAGGTTTTTAAAGACATTTTTTCGTTTAATCTAAGTAGTTGAATTTAGCAGCATAAAGTTGTTCATAATATTTCCTTGTTTTCTTTTTAATGTTTGTAGGATCTGTTAGTAATGTCCCTTTTACATTCTGATATTGGAAATTTGTGTCTTTCTCCTTGATCGAAAAAGTTGGGGGAAGAGGAGAGAGAGACAGAGACAGGGAGAGAGAGAAAGAGATAGAGATAAGGAAAGAGAGAGATTGAGACAGAAAGAGAGAGATACAGAGACAGAGACCAAAGGCCAGGAGGATAGGGTGCCTGGCTGCAGTGACACCTGGCCCTAACCAGGGAGGCCATTTGACTTAGTGGGCCCTCTCAGGGAGAGGGAGAGAAAGAGAGAAACAGACAAACAGGGAGATCAGGGAGAGAGAGACAGACAGGGAGAGAGAAACAGACACAGGGAAACCAAGTTCCAGCTACTCTGTAATCACATTTTTGGGCATGTTTATTCATTTCAGTTGCTTTTTATTTCTGAAGAATGATTCTGTTTTTCATTCATACTAGGCAGCTTCAGTTCCCTTTAATAACACATTTTTTTTGTTTTGTTTTTGAGTTGGAGTCTCACTCTGTCACCCAGGTTGGAGGGCAGTGGCACGCTCTTGGCCACCGCAGCCTTGACCTGCTGGGCTCTGGCGATCCTTCCACCTCAGCCTTCCAAGTAACCAGAACTACAGATGCGTGCTACCATGCCTGGCTAATTTTTTGATTTATTGTAGAGACGAGGTTTTGCCAAGTTTCCTGGGTGGGTCTCAAACCCATGGGCTCAGGCAATCCTCTTGCCTCGGCCTCCCAAAGTGCTGGAATTACAGGCTGAGCCACTGAGCCTGGCCAGTAACAAATTTTTTTAAGTAGAAGGAAAAAGTCATTTTTTTTCCTTTTTAAATTTTTATTTAAAATTGTGAGGGACAATTCAGGGCTAGATATACAAATATTCATTGTGCAGATACCCTTATCAATAAGGTATGCCCCCCCTTCCCCAGGCAGACATCAACTGCTGTCAATCACACCTCTCCAGCCCCCACCCCCCTCCCCGCAGTTTCAGACCACTTTCAATCCTTTTCTTATAGTAATATGGTATTTATTCAAGGTCCATTTCTGAGTGAGAACGTGATACTCAGCTCTTTGTTTCTGTGAGAGATCACTCAGTATTATAAACTCTAGTTCCATCCAGGTTGCTGCGAAGTTCATTTTGTTCTTTGTGATTTTGTTCTTCTTTATGGCTGCATAGTCTTCCATTGTATATATGTACCACATTATCCAGTCCTCTTTTGATGGGTAGTATGATTGGTTCCATAGTCTTGCTATTGTGAACAATGCTGAGATCAACATACATTTGCAGGTATCTTTTTCATAGAGTGACCTTAGTTCTTCTGGGTATATTCCCAGTAGGGGGGTTGCAGGGTCATATGGAAGGTCGATTTTTAGAACTTTTTTTTTTTGAGTTGGTGTCTCACTCTGTCACCCAGACTGGAGTGCAATGGCCGCTCCCGGCCACTGCAGCCTCAACCTGCTGGGTTCCTTCCGCCTCAGCCTTCCAAGTAGCTGGAACTACAGGCGTGTGCTACCACACCCGGCTGATTTTTTGATTTATTGTAGAGATGAGGTCTCATCAAGTTGCCCAGGTGGGTCATGAACCCGCGAGCTCAGACCTCACAAACCCGCGAGCTCTCGGCCTCCCAAAGTGCCTGGATTACAGGCTGAGCCACCGAGCCCGGCCCAGATTTTTAGAACTTTTAGGAATCACCACACAGGATTTCCACAGAGGCTGAACTAGTTTGCACAACCACCATCAGTATAGAAGTGTTCCCTTTTCGCCACACCCTCTCCAGCATCTGTTATTTTTTGAGTTATTGATGATGGCCATTCTAACTGGAATTAGGTGGTGTCTCAGTGTAGTTTTAATTTGCATCTCTTTGATGACTAGTGAGGCTAAACATTTTTTCATGTATCTGTTGGCTGCTCGTATGTCTTCTTTTGAGACGTGTCTATTCCTATCTTTAGCCCACTTTGTAATAGGGCTGTTTGTCTTTTTCTTTTCGGCATGTTTGAGTTCCTTGTAGATCCTAGATGTTAGGCCTTTGTCAGACATAACAGTTGGCAAGTATTTTTTCCCAGTCTGTGGGCTGTCTCCCTGCTCGCTTGATGGCTTCTTTGGCTTTGCAGAGGCTTGTCAGTTTAATGAGGTCCCACTTGTCTATCTTCTCTCTTATGACCTGTGGGTTTCGGGTTTTGTTCAGGAATTGGATGCCAGTTCCGATTTCCATGAGGGTATTTCCTTCCTTTTCTAAGGTTCTTATGGTTTGAGGTTTTACATTTAGGTCTCTGATCCATTTGGAGTTAACCTTTGTGCATGGGGATAGATAGAGGTCCTGTCTCAATCTTCTGCACGTGGCCAGTCAGTTTTCCCAGCACCATTTACTGAATAGGTTCTCCTCTCCCCAGTGGTAGGTGGTGGAGGCTTTGTCGAAGATGAGTTGGTTGAGAAATTGAGGTTTTGCGTCTGGAACCTCAATTCTATTCCATTAAAATAGTCATCTTAAAGAAAACCTTTAAGTTACTAAGAAAAGAGGCAGCCCAAAGACTTGCCAAAGGAGTGACTCTGAAGGGCCCGCTGACCCACACGCAGCAGACAGGGAAAGAGAAAAAGAGCCCAGCATTGCCTAACACAACACCAAGCACATCCAGTAGTCATGGGTGGCCAGCAGGGTGGGTGGGGGGACCCAGGCCTGACCAAGCCCAGGACCACAGGAGCCAGCTGGGTGAACATCTGGGGATGGGGTGGCAGGCGGGGGCAGGGCTGCGGTGGGCAGTGGCCTTGACGGCCTTGACGGCCTTGACTTAGGTGGGCCAGAGTGCTCACAGGACAACAAGTGCTGGCTGGTGAACCAGGCACTCGTGGAGCTGAGGCCACAGAAGAGGCCCTGCCTTGCAGGTCAGGAAAAGCAATCACTGTGTGATTGGAGCCAGAGAACCACAGGCAGGGTGGGGAGGAAGCCACGGTGGAGCCGGCTGGAAGTGGGCACTTGGATTTGGGAGATGGAGGTGGGAGAGGCGCCCACCTGCAAGGCGTGTGGAGAAGGGGCGTACGTGCTCAAACCCTGGGCTTTTGTTCCGAGCCTATGCACAGCAAGTCTCATGGAATACTCGGAGACTGGGCAGGCAGTATTTCCCCCGTTTCACACAAGAGAGTAGCGGCTCAAAGGACAGGGACTTGCCCAAGGTCACCCAGCATGGAAGCGAGAGAAAGATTGGCACCCAGGCCAGGCTGACCCCAGGCTTGGCCCACCCTCCCACACCACTCCCTGGATGCCCTCCTGCTGCCCATGCTGTCTGGGTGCCTATGGGCCAGAGGCTAAACCTCTCTGAGCCTCCACTGAAAAATGAGGAAGACTTTCCTGGCCATGTGGATGATTTAAATGAGAAATGCCTCTTCCTTGTTGGGAGCGGATGTGATGTGGGGAGCGTACGAGCGCTGCCACTGTAGCAGGCGTTGGGTAAAGCCCCCAAGCAAAGGCGAGGTCTCCCTTGCTTGCTCTGCTTCCTAGCCAAAGAGCGCGGGATGCAGCCTGCTCCACAGAGCGGCGTCTCAGATGCCCCCACGTCCGGGTGCACGTAGTACAGATGAAGCCTTAGCGGCAACAAGAAAACCGCGGAACAGCTCGCCTTTTAGGTGGCAACGAAACTCCGTGACAACTCCCTCACAGGCCTTGAAGCCCTTCCAACTTCCCTGGCGCTTGATTATGAAACAAACGTGCTGAGCGAGTCCGGAGCCACTTCTCCATCAGAGGAAAGCGTCCCACCTGACCCCGGCTTTCCTTTCTGTCTTCGTGTCTGTGTCTTTCTTAACCTCTCGCCGCTCTCTCTTGGGACCCTCAAGGCAGCCGCGTGGATGCAGCACTCCTCGTGGGAAGCACTCGGAGACAGGACTGAGGACTCCTGGGGGAGGAGGAAGTAGCTGCCCCAGACCAGGCTAGAAGATCACAGACTTCTCCCCAGCCTCGCGCCACCTGGGCCTGCTGACCTCCTGGGGCAGAGGGCTCAGTCCCTCCGCAGTCGAACGGTTAGAAAGTCCTTCCTCGGTGGTCCTCACTTCTGCCCCCCTGGCCCAGCTCTGCCCAGAAGGGCAACTTGGGGCTGGGGTTGCCAGGCTCTGCGGCTTGTCCCTGGCCTCTCCCAGGAGACACTGGCTGTGCCAGCTCTGAAGCCTCCCGCCTTGTCCTCCCTGTGGCCACCAGACCCTCCTTCCCTGCCCATCCCATCAGCATGGCTCCAGAACCGGACAGCACAGCCTGGCGCAGCCTGGCCCTGGCCCTGCAGGGCAGACCCCTGTGGTAGGTCCTGGTGGCTCGTTCTTTTTATTGCTAAGTCCCTGCAAAGCCCGGGGTCTAGGATCTTCCTGTGTGGCACCCAGCGTGTCGGTGCTCGTTGGAAAGGGGCCGTCCAGGAGCGTCCCTCTGTCCCGGAGGTTTCGCCCTCCTCAGCCATGCGGCAAGTTGGTGGCATTGATGGTGGAAAGGCTGGTAGGGTGAGAAGAAGGACTCACCGGGATCTGCTGTTCTGGGTCTGGAGGGGAACAGGCCACACCACCTCCCCTTCCCACTCCATGCCTGGCTTGAGGAGCTCAGAGGACTCAGGGCTTTTGGGGGGACACGCTGACCCCCGGGTGGGAGGCTGACCTCACTCCCCACCCATCAATGCCCAGAGCCAGAGCCCGAGACCTGAACACGCAGGAGGCTCTGCCGGCCACCGGGGAAAGAGCAGCCTCCATGTGTCCTCAGACCCAAGAAAGCCGGAGGGCTTGGGGGTCCCTGAGTCTGGGGCAACTTCCAGGCCACCTAGGGCTTCCAACAGCCCTGGGTGCCATGGTCAGAAGAGGGGTGGAGGAGGGCCCTTGGGCCTCGGCTTGCTGACCCTGACCGTGACAGGCTGGTCACTGAAGCCTCCCAGGGCTGAGTCATCCCTGCAGCCCTGGGAGGAGGACAGAGGCCTGAAGAATGACCTCTGTGATTTTCCCACAACCTGGGAACTGGATTTTATTTGGAGAAATGGAGCATGTGATCTGCCCCCAGCTGAGTGTGAAGAGATTGCTACTCATTCCACAGTGAACAGTGTGATGCTTCCACATCCCAGGTGTGAAGCAGTTCACAACTGTCACACAGGGACGGTGTGACGTCTTCCTCCCTCAAGTGAAACAGTTCACACTCATCACACAGAAAACATGCGATAGTCCCCTCCCTGGGTGTGAAATGGCTCATACCACACAGGGACACGTATACATCCCTCCCCTATGTGAAGCAGCTCACACTCATGACAGGGATAATGTGGCAATTCCCTCTCTCATGTGCGAAGCAGTTCACACTCAACACAGAGAGACAATGTGGTCCTTCCCTTCCTGGGTGTGAAGCACTTCGTACTCATCACACAGGGACATGCCATCCTTCCTTCCCTCATGAGTGAAGCGGTTCACACCACGCAGGGACAGTCGGACGCTTCGCTCTCGTTGATGTGTGGCACATTTCACGCTCCGTGCACAGGGACCGCGTGATACATCCCTCTCATGTGGGTGATGCAGTTCACACTCATTGCACAGGGACCACGTGGTACTGCCTCTCATGTAGTGAGGCAGTTCGCCCTCATCACTCAGGGACAATGTGTACTCCCCCCCTTCGTGTCTGAGGGGCTTCCCACTCACCCCACAGAGACAACGGGATAATTCCCTCTCGCGTGTGATGAAGTTCGCACTCATCATACGGAGACAGCGTGATGATTCCCTCTCTCGTTTGTGGAGCAGCTCACACTCAGCACACATGGACCATGCGATGCTTTTCTCCCTGGGCGTGAAGCGGTTCACACTAGTTACACAGGGACAAGGCGATACTTCTCTCGCGCGCGTAAAGCAGTTCACACTCATCGCCCAGGGACTATGCGATAACGCCTGCTTTAATGTGTGTGAGGCGCTTCCTGTCACACAGGGACAATGTCGTGTTTCTCTCCTTTATGGGCGAGGTAGCTCGTCCTCACCACACAGCAGACAGTGTGAGCCTGCCCTCTCGCGTGTGTGGAGCAGTTCATGCTCGTTGCACAGTGAACAGCGTGAAATTCCCTTACCTTTCGAGTGCAGCCGTTCACACTCATCGCGCAGGGGCGGTGATCACAGCCCTCTCGCTCGGGAGGCGGTTCACACTCCGCGCAGGGACAGCGCCCCGCTCCCTTCCCCTATGTTGAAGCAGTCCATGCTGCGCGGTGGACAGTGTGAAGCTTCCTCACGGCTTGGGCGAAACTGCTCACACTCGTCACGCGGGGACAGCGATCACGCCCCTTCCTGTGTGCGAAGCCGTTGACGCCCCTCACGCTCGGGCAACGTGGCCCTGCATTCTCGCGCGTGCAGAGCCGCCCACACTCCTCCCAGAGGCACGGCGCGACGCGACCCTTCCTAGGCGCGAAGCAGGGCCGCTTCGTCGCCGCGCGCGATGTGACCTCTCTCCCCGGTACACGAGGCAGTTCGCACTCATCACCCACGGACAGTGTGGCCCCTCCCTGTGTGGGAAGCAAGTCGCAGGGAGGGGCGACGTGACACTTCCCCGTCCTTGGTGGAGCAGTTTCTATTCGCCACACGTGAGCCGCGTTACCCTTCCCTCCGCGTGTGCGAAGCAGCTCACACTCATCACGTGAGAGCCATACGGCGCTTCCCTCCTGTGGTGTGAAGCCACACAGATGAGCCACACAGGGACAAAGGCACACTTCCCTCCACCCGGCGTGATGCTGGTCTTTCTCATCCCACGGGGACAAAGTGATACCTCCCTCCCCAGTGCGTGCAGCAGATCACACTCACGACACAGGACCCAGGTAGTACTTGCCTGAGTGTGCAGCGCTTCACACTCACCACACAAGGACAATGTGACGCTTCTCTCCCCAGACATGAAGGAGCTCATAGTTATCACGCAGGACAATATGACGCTTCCTTCCCTGTCTGTGAAGCCGTTCATACTTATCACAAAGAGACAATGTGCTATCTCCGTCTCCCACGTGTGGAACAGTTCTCACTGATCACGCAGTGGCAATGTGACATTTCCCTCCCCTGTGTCTGAGGCAGTTTATACTCATCGCATCGTGACAATATGATGCTTCCCTTCCTATCTGTGAAGCAACCACACTTATCACACAGGGACAACGTGTCCCTTCCTCCCCATGTGTGAAGTGGTTCATACTCATCACACCGGGACAGTGTGATGCTTCCTTGCTCGGTGCATAAGCTGTTCGCACTCATCACATATTGACCGTGTGATGCTTTTCTCCCTTGTATGTAAGGCAGTTCACACTCTTCACAAAGGGGCGGCGTCACACTTTCCTCCCTGTGTGTAAACCAGCTCACCCTCATCACACAAAAACAACGTGGTGCCAGTGTGATACTTCCCTCCGCCTGTGTGAAGCGGTTCGCGCTTATCACAGAGGGACCGTGTGACAGCTCTCTCCCCAATGTGTGAAGCAGCTCATACTCATTACACAATGGACAATGTGCTACTTCCCTCCTCCAGGTGTGAAGCAGCTGATCCTCACCACACAGGGACATCGAGATATTCCCTCTCATGTGTGAAGCAGGTCATACTCCTCGCATGGGGATAATGTGACACTTCCCTCCCCGTGTTTGAAGCAGTTCGCACTCACACACAGGGGCGACATGATGCTTCTCCTGCTTGTGTGTGAAGTGGTTTATGCTCATCACACAGGGACCGTCGCATCCTTCCCTTCCCCATGTGTGAGGCAGTTCATACTCATTGCACACAAACGATGCGACACTTCTCCCCTGTGAAGCAGCTCACACTTATCACAGGGTCACTGGGATGCGTCCATACCCGTGTGTGAAGACGTTCACACTCGTCACGCAGGAGCGACACGCCCTCTCTCTCCTGCCTGTGTGAGGCAGCTCATACTCATCACACGGACGATGCGGCGCATCCCTTCCCAGGTGTGAAGCAGTTCGTGTGCATCACACAGGGACAGCGTGATGCTTCCTTCCCCAGTGTGTGAGTCAGCTCGTACTCAGCGCATGGGGGAAATCGTGACACGCTTTTTCCTGTGGGTGAAGCGGCTCATTCTCATCGCCCAGGGACATGTGATTCTTCCCTCCCCTGTGTGTGACGCAGTTCACACTCATCGAAGAGGGACAGCGTGATGCTTCCCTTCCTGTCCGTGAAGCAGTTTACACTTCTCACACGGGGACGGTGTCACACTTCCTGACCCCATGTGTGAAGCTGTTCACACCCATCACATGGTGACAACGGGGCACCCTCCTCGCCGTCGGGGCCGCAGTTCGTGCTCATGGCACAGAGACAAGTGATGCTTCCCTCCCCCACGTTGGGGCAGTTCATGCCCACCACAAGGGGGTGGGAGAGGCTTCCCTCTCTCGTGTTTGAGGCCGTTCGCGCTCGTCAAGCAAGGACGATGCCACGCTTTCTTTCCCGTCTACGAAGCCGGTCACGCTTACCACAGTGCGATGCTTCCTGACCCCCCATGGAAAGTGGCTCACACTCGTCACGCAGGGTCAGTGTCATAGTGCTCGCCCCCCACGTGAGCAATTCACACTCACATAGGGGTAATACGACGCTTCTCTCCCTTTGTGTGAAGTGCTTCGTATTTACAACACACGGACAACGAGGCATTCCCCCTCCGCGTGTGTGAGGCAGTTCCCAGTCGTCACACGGAAACAACGTAACACTTCCCCCCCTGTGTTGAAGCAGTCCGCGCTATCACACAGGGACAGTGTGACACATCTCTCCTCCTGTGTGACTCGTCCGTCTCCTGGGCGTGGAGCGGTTCACACTCTTCAGGCGGGAACAAGCGGATGCCTCCTTCTCCCGTGTGCCAGGCAGCTCGTGTCACCACACTAGAATCCTGGATGTCTCTGTCAGGGAGCATGGGCGGAGCAGCATCTCTTGGTGCCGTTGGGGACGTCGAGGCTCTGAGGGTGACCCCCTTAAGGCCACACAATGAAGAAGCACCAGGGCCCAGGGCTCTGTCTCATTGCGGGGGCCTCGCCTGCCGTCTGTCCGGGCCTCCCCTCCCACCTGCCTCACCATGCCTGGCCAGGTGTCCAGGGATTAGGAGATTAGCTAAATCCTGGGGTTTGAGCGAGGCTTATCAGAGGTGCGCTCTGCACCCCCGGTTCTGTCTTGGCGCCACAGTGAGCCAACTCCTGCTCTGGCCGGCAGCCCGTCTCTGCTCCCGTCCCCTGGGGGTGAATGGCAGGCCAGCGGCCAGCCTTGTGCATTGTGCACCTAGAACAGAAGTGGGCAGGAGGGAGGCCGCGGGCACCTTTTGTGCTCCTGCAGGATGCTGCCCAGAAATGAGCCCTTCCTTGGCGGGCCAGGGTCCCCACCCCCTGCTGGGCTGATCCAGACTCTGCTGTGGGGTGTGGGTGACACTGGGTCCCTCCTTGTCTGTGCCGGGGTCATTCGGTCGCAGCCCAGGACTGGCGACCTGGGATGACAGGCGGAGTGCAGGGCGGGAGGAGGGCCGAGCGGCTCCCATTGCGTGAGTGCGGCTGGGGCTCTGCGGTGTCTCAGCAGGCCAGGTGGGTGGGTTGTCCTCCGCTCCTTGAGCTCGACTCCCACTCATGGCGCCATGGAGCCGTCCCTCTGGAATGGCTGTGGGAGGGGCCGGTGGGGCCCGGCAGGTCTGGGTGGAGTCAGAGGCCATCCTGGGGAGGGCTGTAGTTTTCTGTGCCGCGGTTTCCTCGTGTCGGTGGGGATGCTCAGTCCCTTCAGAGGAGAGGAGAGGAGGTGACAGGTGTGCGCACACCTGTGGGATAAGTAGTGTTTGTGAACCGGACGGGTGTCCACCCAGCACACTGGGAGAATTAACCCGAGCCCTCAGGAAAGTGGGGTCATGGGGGCCGCGGGTGTCACATGAGCCTCAAACAGCGGGTGCTTCCCCCACGGCGGCCCTGACCACAAAAAATGCCACTGAGCATACAGATCCCACTTATCACAGCCAGAACTGGCAGAATATGAAGGGTTGAGTCTGGCAAGACAAGTGCCCAATTTCCAGGAAGAAAGTGACGGCATGTGGCTGAAGGATGTTGGAGGAAAACCAGGGGGAAGGAGTCCGCGTTCCTGGAGGGCAGGGCTGATGCGGCCACGAGGCTCTTTCTCTCCACGGGAAGCCAGTGCAAGGCCAGCGGCGCTCTCGCCCTGCAACCAGCACGCCTGCCGGAAAGTTCTCCCGGAGAGGGAGTATGGGAGGAATGCCAGGAAGGCGGGACAGAAACAGTGAGGGCACCTGCACAAGCACACGCCCGAGGCATCCCCCAGTCGCGGTCATTCAGAGCTGGTGTAGGAGGAAGCAGGCTCAGTGAGCTGAAGAGGGACCAGGGCTGCATCCACAGGGCTTCCACGCTCCGGGGAAGAGGCGACGGTCCCACAGCGGTCCCATCTGCTGGCCTCAGCGTGTGAGTGACCCGAATCAAAGGAGATCCCTACCTGGCACCACACACGCCAGTATGGTCCAGATGTACTCACAGGCTTTTATACACCCGTACCTTGTGTTTGTGCACTCACAAGTGTGTCTATAATACATATCTATGTAGGCATGTACAAGATGTGTGTGTACATAATAAAATGAGCAGAAGGAAATATAGGACTGTGTTTCCATAAACCCGAGGCTGGGGATGTCCTTCCTGGCAACACACACAGCTTCGAAGCCATGCAGAAAAAGACTGATCTGATAATACTTCCAAGATCAGCTGTTAAACAAAAGACACTTAAGTGGCTGCACGCGATGGCTCGTACCTGTAGGCCCAGCGCTTTGGGAGGCTGAGGTGGGAGGGTCACTTGAGCCCCGGAGTTCAGGGCTGCAGTGAGCTAGGATGGTGCCGCTGCCCTCCAGCCTGGGTGACAGAGTGAGACCATGTTTCTAAAAATAATGATAGTAATTTTCAAAGCAAAGTTGAAGACAAATGACTGGGAGAAAACAGAACAGCTGAAGGAGGTTGGGAAGGGTGTTTGGAGGAGGAAGTGGGGTGTCTGTGAGTTCAGTTTATCAAACCTCGGGATGATTGGGCCTTTTAATAGTAAGAATGGCTCCCAGGAGAGCTACTGCAAGGATGCCAGGTTGGACAAGTGTGGGTTCCAGGTCCCCGGGCGCTGGGAGGGTGGGACCAGCAGGGTGAGGTGGCCTGCAAAGCTCATCCCGCTGGAGCCCAGGGGAGAGCAGGCCTTGGGCCAGGAACAGAAGGGCCTAGGGGCTGGCTGAGCCTGGCAGACGGCCCGAGGGCAGGTGTGCCGCAGGGCGGGCTGTCCTGGCTGTGCCCCTGGAGACCGTGCACTCCCGTCAGCCCACCCTCTGACGCCCAGCCAGGCCTTTGCTGGTGGCTCCCTCTCCCTGTGCCACCTGCTAGGGAGTCCTGTGCCTGCAGGCCTCATCCCTGTTGCCGCTCCAGCTTGGCCAGCCTGCCCCATTCGGAGTCCAGCTCAGAGGCAGCTCACCCCTCCTGGCAGGGCCCGAGTGTGACAGCGACCTTGGGGCCATTTTGCCTCGTGCCTGCCCCAGTGCCCTGTCCTGAGAGCTTCGTGGGCACAGCAGGTATTTGGAACTTCCATAAGCTTCAAGTGAGTGGGCTATGACTCAGCTCTGGCCAAGATCCCAAAGACAAATAGGAGTGACTGAAGTTTGGGACACAGAGACTTTTGTACCTGGAAAATATGAGGTCTGGAGAGGATGTCTGTCCTGCCTAATGTTACAGGAAATCATTCATGTGACATCGCAACACTTCCCAGGGGGTGGGGTTGGGACCTCTCCTCTCCTCTGGCACAACAGTCACAATCCTGTCCCTGATGCGCAGGCCTGGGGAGGGGCTTCTTGCCTAAGATTACTCACAGCTCAGGGACAGAGTTTGGTTTGAAGCCAGAGAGATGTCTCAGGTTCGGGAGTCAAATTGCCTGGGTGGGAGTCCTGGGCGCTATTTGCTGGCTGTGGCCTCCAGCAAGTCACTTTGCTGCTTGGAGGCTTCACTGTCCCCATCTGTGGCATGGGCCTTCTGGGGCTGTTGCGAAGGTGCCTGGGTGCTCGGCGTGTGCTCGGTAATGGCTACCCATCAAATGCTCAGACAGCAAAGGCTAGCCCGCTCAGACAGCAAAGGCTAGCCTGCTCAGACGGCACAGGCTAGCCCACTCAGACATCACAGGCTAGCCCGCTTAGACGTCATAGGCTAGCCCACTCAGTTGTCACAGGCTAGCCCCTCAGATGTCACAGCCTAGCCTGCTCAGACATCACAGGCTAGCCACTCTCCCTCCCTGGGGCCAACAAACACTCAGACTCAGGCTGGATAAAGAATATGCTTTACTCTCTGGGGTGGGGTCCTAGCTAGGCTGCTCTCCAGGCGGCGTCACAGAGCCATGCACGCGCACACGGTACAGGCAGGTGAAGCGTGGGTTCCCCCAGTTACTCGAGATCTTCACCTTGACTGCACCAAAAGCCCGGTTCAGACGGTTCTGCAGAATCAGACGAGGGCAGCTCACCTGCGGGCCCCACCTCCCTGTCTGGTGGGTGGGGGGCATTAGGACTGGAAGAGAATGTTCCTCCTCACAGGGGAGGAAATGGGGGCCCAGAGGGGAATGGCCTGTCCCAAGGCCACACAGCAAATTGATAGTCAGGGCTCACATGGAAGCTGCTGAGACCAGAAATGTGTGTTGGGGAACCCTCTTAGCTGTGCGACTGTGGGACTCCGGGCAAGCCACCGCTCCTCTCTGGGCCTCAGCTTCCTCCCTGTAAGGTGGGAGTGATAGTCCCTGCCTCCCTGGATTGCCATGGGCATGGGACGTGACCTGGGGCCAGCGGCATCCCGCGTCAGCACACAGACGATGCTCTGAGATCACCCCCAGCTCCCACTCCGTGAGAGGGGATGGAGCCCATGTTTATCTCGCTCCTGCTCGGGCAAAAGTGGGGCAGCTCAGCCTTCAAGGTATCACTGATGAGTCAGTCTCTCAGGGAGTTACAGAAGGGGAAACTGAGGCTTCAGGGAGGCAGGGTGTGGCCCAAGTGCACACAGAGTTTGTGGTTGGGCTGAAATTTGGGCCAGAATCGGTCCAATTCCCAAGCCTATGCTGGCCCTGCCAAGCCCCATGGCCATTCCAAGGGCTCCTCCTCCATCCAACTTTGGTCTCTGGGCCCTCGCACCTCAGTTTCCCCAGTGTTACTGGGTCTGGTGCTGCCTATGGGGCCTCCCAGGATGGAGGCTCCTGGTGGGAACACGGAGGCTGGCTAGAGGTTCAAGTTTTCCTGGATCCCACGCTTGATCCTGGGCCATGGCTCCATCCTTTTGAACCTCAGTTTCCTCCTCTGTCAAGTGGGTTAGTAACAACCGGGCATCTCCTCGGGCTGTTGGGGTGAAGCGAGGCTCTGGGGTGCAGCCTGATGCTGTGTGCATTCAGCAGGTGCTCAACACAGGCTGCTATTCTTAGGTACCTGGAGCGGGAACATCTGAATGGTGTTTTCTGGCTGAAACTGAAACGCCCCCAGGAACGCCTCCTCCTTGGGAGAGTTCTCCATGCCCTGTGGACCCAGGACCAACAAGAAGGTGTCAGACACAAGCAGGGCCTTCAGAGGGTATTTCCCCTCTCCAGTTGAGACTTGCATGCCTCCCAGGATGTGCAGTTTACTACCTCTTTGAGCACTGTTTCATTGCAGGACAGATGGGAAAGAGCAACAGATTGGGAGTCGGAGACTGACTCAGACTTGCCGTTGGCTTGTAGATTTAGGTGTTTCCCTGGCCCTTCTCTGGGCCTCTCTTTCTAAGACAGTCCAGATAATTATTTGACTCTTCTTAGCAAAACGGGGGCTCAGTGGTCTCTGAAGACTGTGTTGGCTCAAAAAACTTGGCTGGAGATATGGCATTCCCCACCCTTGAGGGCTGAGAGCTGACCCCACCGGCCACCCCAGCTGTAACCAGGCCGCCCCCGGGCCGCTAGCCGCTGACTTGTGCAAACGCTGCCTATCCCGGGTCTGGAACATCAGTCTCGTGGGGGTGCCCCGTGGGCAAGCGTCACTCCCTGCGGGGGTGCTCACATAGACCACGAAGTCCTTGGGGGCGGTGTCCAAGCTGCCCGACAGCGAGATGGTCCTGGGAATGTGTTGCAGCGTGATGTTGGACAGGAAGACCTTCTGGGCCAGCCGGACGGTCACCTGGCCACGGTCACCCGCGAAGGCCCAGCAGCTGCCGGGTGTCATGTTGGGCTGGGGGAGGCAGGGGGGGTGTGGGCTGTGCTGGGTGGGTCAGGCAACCCCGTCCCGCGTGTTGTCCCCTGCACTTTCTTGCCTTCTGGATATGCCAGGTCTTCCATCGACGAGGCTTGGCTCAAGCACCACCCCCTCCAGGGAGCGCCTCTGGCTGCCAGGGACGGGCCTCTCAGGGCCCCCCGCCTCCAGCCTCTCCCCCTTGGTCCACACCCATTCATTCGCTCGCCCATGCCCCCATCATTCCTATGATCACCCCGTGATGTAGACACCGTTACCACTCCCATTTCACAAATGAGGAATCTGAGACACAGAGCAGGGAAGTGACTGGTCCAGGGCCATGCAGAGCTGGGGATGTAACTCAGGCGATTTGACCCTGGAACCTGTCGTTAGCCCACATAAAGGGGAAACGGGCCCAGAGAGGGAAAGAGATTTGACTGAAGTCACCCAGCAAAGGCGTTAATGTAGTCGGTTGTAAGCTTCTTGGAGATGCAGCCTGGGCTGTTCTAATATGGAATAGAAGATTCTAGAATGGGGCCACAGGCGCTGGTGGGGGCCAGGGAAGGCCTCCTGGAAGAGCTGGGGCCCACTGCCAAGTGCATGGCCTGTGCCTTGGGGTCCCTCTGCCTTGGCCACCTCCACCAGGCCATCTCCCCATCCCACTGGGTAAGGACATTGCCCCAGCTGGACTCCAAGAGCTGATGTCTTGGAGCTCCTTGAGGGTGGAGTCCATGGCGCATCACCTGCGGCCTTGGGTTTGCCCAGGGCTGGCTGCTAGGACGAGATGCCCACTGGTGTTTGCTGGATGCGGGCACTTGCCCTGGGAACTAGACAAATGCCTTCCCTCTCTGGGCCTCAGTTTCCCCATCGAGGCAGGGTTCCAGAGGAGCGAAGAGCTCAGGTCTGCCTCTGCCACCCTCCGGTGACCAGCTGTGTGGCGGCTGTCAAGTAGCCTGGCTCTTTGAGCCTCAGTCTCCTCCTCCTCCTCAGCAAAATGAGTAAATTGCAGGCCCATCCCCAGGGTGGTCCCAAGGCCTCCTCGACCCTCGGGTCTCAAGGTCTGGGCGATGGGGCCCCTTCGTGTGCCAGAGCAAGCTGTCCCCTGTCCCACTCCGACTCCAGCCGGCCCCCTGCTCTGTCGGCCCCTCTGCCCTTTGCCTTGTCTGTTGCCACCCTCCCCCTGCTCCCCCCTCTAGCCCACCCCGCCAGCCCCTGCCCCCACACCCCGGCCACGCCCCCGCCCTGCCGCCCCTGCCTCAAGGATCACGTCCGGGGGCTGCGCGTAGTTCCACAGCCGGATCCAGTTCCAGTAGGAGCGCGCCTTGTCGTGGTTGAACGTGGCCGATGTGTGTGCGAAGTCAATGCTGGCTCCTGTGTGGGAGGGGACCCCCACGGACCGGCCACTCGCTTGGAGGTGGCCCTGGCCACTCCCTGGACGCAGTGCTCTCCTCTGGGAAGCGGGCTGGCTGACGGTGGGGTCGTGGCAGCAACAGCAGCACAGAGTCCCAGGCTGCTGCCCTGCGGAATCGGGGCCTCCCGGTCCCTCCCACGTGCTCGCCGGAGTGGCGCTCTCTGCGAGTTACCAAGAGGCCCGCGCAGAGGACGGAGCGCTGCCCGAGAGGCCGAGGAGGCTCGAGGCCACTGGGGCCGGGCTGGTGCCGTCCGGCCCATTTTGCCGAGCCTGGGGCGCCCAGGTGGGCCCTGCTGGCCTGTGGACCCCTCGCCTCCACCGGCCTCCCCCTCGCTGGCTCTGGCTGCCTCCTCATGGGGCGCCGTGGTCTGGAAGGCTTTCCCTCCTCACACATCTCAGCCTCAAGGCCCTCGTGGGTGGCCTTTCTGCCAGGAGCCCTCTGTCCCTGCCAGCTGCCTCACTGTCCCTGAAGCACTGACTCCTGCCTGCGAGCAGGGTGGCTCTGTCTCCCTGACCTGTGTGTCCAGCTCCAAGTTTGGAGAAGGTGAGTGGGTGAGGGGTGAGTGGGGACCAGGCGGTGTCCAGGGCCTGCGGAGTCCCACGCTCCCTCCCTGTGGACCCAGCCCCATCCTGAACCCCGTTAGAGAAAACAGAATGGCAGCAAAGAAGCCAGCTGAGAGCAGAGGCTGGCTCGGAGGAGGGAGTTCCCACCCTCTGAAGGGTTTCTGGGGACGCTTGGCAGCGATGGGGAGGGGAGCGTGTACCTATAGACTTCAGGGCGAAGTCTGGCTTCTCGATGTAATCTCCCTGGATCATCCTCATGATCTTCTGGGTCATTTTCTGCTGAGGAAGCCAAGAACCAAGTGTGCACGTGTGTTTCCCAGGGGCATAGTGCCCACGTGTGTCTCCCCTGGTGGCGGGCAGCTGTGAGGGCACCTCTTCTCCCCCCAGCTCCTGCTCCCACAGAGCCCCAGCTGGCCCCACGCAGGCCTGCTCGGCCAGGAGCCACGGAGCCAGCGCTGTGCCCCCCCAGTTTCCTTGGCACTTCCAAGGCCACCGTGACCAGATGCCACACAGGATCCCGAAGTCTCAGTGGGGTGAAGGGCAGGGTTGGGGCCAGGCGGAACTTTGCTGCGGGCCAGGTCCTGTCCTCGATCTTCTCATCGGCAAGGCGGGGACAACGGTCACGGCTGCCTCCCCCTGTCGTGAGGGCGAGAGCGCGCGATGCCGCCCCACCACGTGCCAGGACCATTCTCACCCGCATCCCTCGCGGCGCCCAGGGAGCGTGCACAGTTATCATTCCCACTTTAAAGATGAGAATGCTGAGGCCCAAGGTGTGACGTGTGGAAGGCCACAGCTGGCACGGGGAAGAGCCAGCAGCTGATTCCAGGTACAGGCTGTCAGCCACCCCCCTGCTGCCAGTCGAAGAGAGCAGAGCACTTGGTGCAGTAGGTGCTCGGCAAACAGCAGCTGCTCCTTGTACTGGACTCTTCGCGGTGGGGGCGACTCTGTTTTTCAAAAATGACTGCACCAAGGTCTCCCCGGCCACACTCTTCTTCCACTGTGGCTTCAGCACTCTTCCCGCTAAGAGTGAGAGGGTGGGGTGCTGGAGAGGCAGAGGGGTGGGGTCTGACTGCCCCTCCCATCCTCCAGGGCTGTGACTATGGCAGAAGTCACGTTGTGCGGCTTGTGGGGCTCAGTCCCCAAAGGTGACACGGTGCTGCCCGGTTCCCAGGCCACACAGAGCGGCCACACGCTGGTGTCTGAGCTTCCGACTGACTGCAAGCCGGCATCCGCCTCTAGCCCAGGGGCAGAGTCACTCTGGCCTTCACGTCTTGCCAGCGGAGGTCCCAGATGCCCAGAACAGAGACAGGCCAGCCCCGCTGGGTCCTTTCTGAATCTCTGTCCGACCCATAGACTCGCCGAGCATGAAATGCCTGCCTGACCCGCTGACCTTGGAACGGGCTATTGTGCAGTGATGGCAGTAACAGCAGCCAGGGCCTTACCAGGTAGCAATCATAGATCATCATTGCAGTTAGTTGAATGGAAACGAAGGCTCAGGGAGGTTGACGAGCGGCCCGAGGCCACCCTGCTCCAAGAGGGAAAACACCCCCAACTCTTCCCTTAATCCTCCTCACAGCTGGATGGTCGCTAACTCCAAGAAATATCGTGTGGCATATTATTCTAAGGTTCATAGGAGTTGCCATGTTCGGTCCTTACAATGGCCCACTTTCTAGGTGAGGTCACTGAGGGCCAGAGAAGGTAAGTAAATTGACCAGAGTCACACAGCTTATAGGAGTGGAGATGAGATTTGAGCCCAAGCAGCCCAACTCGAGCGCCAGTGCTGTAACTGCACCTGCTGCCACTGTAGGTCGGTGGCCCCCTGCTGCGCTCATGTGGCCTGTCTGAACTGAGGCCGACAGAGGCTTAGAAGGAACAGGAAGGGGCCCTGGAAACCTGGGACTTGGGGACGCTACAGGGTGAAGACGAGTTTTGCAAAAGTTGTGCTGAATCCCTTTGTGAAAACTCACTTCCAGGTGAAGATGTCGGATTCAGCACATCACTTCATTGTACCCTCTCCTAATACTCCACTACTTCAGGAAAGTGGTTTTATTTTTTTGAGTGGGAGTCTTCCTCTGTCACCCAGACTGGAGTGCAGTGGCTGCTCCTGGCCACCGCAGCCTCGACCTGCTGGGCTCCGGCGATCCTTTCGCCTCAGCCTTCCAAGTAGCTGGAATTACAGGCGCATGCTACCACGCCCAGCTGATTTTTGATTTATTGTAGAGATGAGGCCTCGCCAAGTTGCCCAGGTGGGTCTCGAACCCGCGGGCTCAGGCAATCCACTCACCTCAGCCTCCCAAAGCGCAGGATTACAGGCTGAGCCACCGAATCTGGCTAGGAAAGTTTTAAAAGTGCCAACCCGTTTGGGCAGGGAGAACAGGAGTGGAGATAGCCAGGCTGCCGGGTATAGTGGTGCAAGTTGTGCACGGCAGAAAGGGACTGAGACGCGGCTCTCCAGGCTCTCCATGTGTTCTTTGAGTTGGAGGAAGGTGCCTTTGTGGATCCATCGGCCCAGGGTGGGTGGCTTCTCTTACTTTGCACAGAGGCACAACATGCTATGCCCTAGCACTCTGGAATTGTCCTGTGCACTGCAAGGCATTTGGTGGCATCCCTGGCCTGGTGCACCCCTTCCCCACCCCGTTTTAACAACCAAAAATGTCTCCAGATGGTACTCATTCTCCCCCGGGGGCAAAGTCATCCCGTGATGAGAACCACTGACACTGCAGACCCGAGAAAGCTGAATCCTGAGGGGATTCGAAAGGCCCAGGAAGGTGACTCTAGGTCCCTCTGGGCTTGGGCGGAAGAGAAGCCAGCGAAAAAACAGATTCCCAGGTCCTCCCTCGCTCTGAAAAGCCTGTGAGTTCTTCTCCACTCTCCAGAAGAAGACTGGAAGTTATACTGTGGAGAGGGTGAGACAAGGGGCTCTGTCAGGACAGACAACGAATTCCTAGATGAAATGTCAAAAGCACTGCCCATGAGAGAAAAGATGGACACGTTGGACTTAATTAAAATCAAATACTATGGAGCACAGGTTTCCGATATGTCAAATCATACCACTGAACTGAGTACATTTGCCAGAACTGTAGAAAAAAGCTGATGGGTTCATAACACCATTAACCCCAAACAAGCCGAACAAGAATTATATAGGACTACGTGAACTGATAAAGATGGTTATAATTTGTATGGTCTTCTTGTTTGAAAAAAATAAAAACAAAATCAGAAACTTTTTTTGTTGCCATTGTCATCCAGTGTAAAGCTACACTAGACCGAGGAGATGCGTGCAGCACGTCCACCAACAAAAGACATGTGTCCAGAACACATAGGAACTCCTACAAGCCAGTAAGGAAAAGATACTTCCCCTCAAGGCAGCAGACAAAAGCCAGATGGCCAGTGGGTGCACGAAAAGACACTTGACACTGTTAACAAGCAGCAATGCCCATTGTAAGCACAGTGGACAGCGCCTCTCATCCCCTGGAACAGAATCAAGAGAACCTGCGATACCAGTGGTGGTTAGGATGTGGGACCACTGGAATGTGTGTGCACTCCTGGTGGGAGTGTAAACTGGAAAACCTTCTGGCAGCATCTAATAAAATGAATATACTCATCCCTTATGATCCAGCAATTCCGCTCCTGGGCATATCTACTCCTAAGATAAATAAGTATATGTGTCCACCAAATATATGTGCAAGAATGCTTAGCGCAGTTTTAGTCATAAGTCTCAAATTAGGAACCATTGAAATGGTCATCATTAGTTGAACAGATAAGCCAACCATGGTATAGCAACACATGGAATGAAACAGATCTTCTGATGTATGCAACAACATGAATGAATCTCATAAACATTGTTCTGAGAGAAGTCTGACATTAAAAAGAACAGGCTGGGCATGGTGGCTCACATCTGTAATCCCAGCACTTTGGGAGGTTAGAGCCGGAGGATGGCTTGAGCCCAAGAGTTCAAGATCTCCCTAGGCAACATAGTGAAACCCTGTTTCTATTTTTTTTTAATGGAAAAATAGGTTGTATGTGGTGGCACGTGACTGTAGTCCCAGCTACTTGGAAGGCTGAGGTGGGAGAATCACCTGAGTCCAGAAGGTGATTGTGCCACTGCATGCCAGCCTGGGTGACATCCAACTAAAACAAACAAACAAACAAAAACCCCCAAAAGAACATGTTGCAGGATTCCATTTATATAAAGAGCCAGAAATTAACATCTAATGCTAGAAGTCAGAGTAGTGGTCGCCTCTGGGACATTATTGCCTGGGAAGAGGCTCCAGGAAACCTGCCAGGGCTGAGATGTCTGTTGATTTGTGTAGGGTCACATGGTTGTATACGAATTTAAATATTCATTGCACTGTCTACCCACAGTGGTACACTTTACTGCAGATACATTTTAATGAAAACAAAATCAGAGGGTCTCTGTATTGGGGGGCACCAGGCACAGGTGAAAGTGAGGCTGAGACTAGGCGCGTGTGCCTATACACTGAATACTGAGATGCCCCTCCCCACACCCTGTCTCCTCTGGAGAATCAACCAGGTCAAGGCGTCTGCATCAGGTGTTCACCGAGGAGACACACTGAAGGGAGCCTGGGCTGTCAAACTCCATAGCATGTATCAGAGCTGGCAATCACCTCTTCAGTCCCACTCTGTTAATACAATCAGTCAAATTAAGGGTGGTCAGACAACCAGGAAAGCCATTAACAGGAATCAAAATGCAAACAAGGGTCACCTGAAGAAAACAGAGCCCATGCAAGAAAAAGACAACCCCAAAAGCAAATAATCATTGATAAGAGGTAAGAAAATTCATTGCGTCCATGAAACAGCAATATAATTTTATGAAAAGGAAAACCCAGAGAACAAAAAGAAAGTTCTTGGGAACTCAGAATATGTTAGCAGAAATAAAACGCTCACTAGAAGTTTTCATAGATAAAGCTGAGAATGTTGTCTCCACTGTTGGAGACAAAGAGAGGAAAACAGAGAAGTAGAGATCAGTTCAGGAGTTGACATCCAAATAATAGGAGCTTCAAAAATGAAAATAAAGCAAGCAGGACTGGGGGACTCCATTTAATCATGTGAAGAATGTTTCTTAGGATGAGAGGACAGGTGTTTCTGGAGGGGCAGTTTCTGAGGGTGTCCAGAGGTCAAGTAGATGCAGTAGGTGACAGAGGGCTCACACGTCAACAGCTAGAGAAACCAGATGGTTTAAAGATATATTTTAAAGCCATGACTGAGTTATGGAAGCAACAAGGAGCAGATGAACTACAATTCTGGAGAGTGAAGAACTATTCCCAGATGTGCTGACAATGTATTTTTTAATTGTCGGGGGCATTTAATAATTCTAGGCATGGGTCAAGGATCTGAACATAGCCAAAAAATGGGCTGGTGAAAGAGAAAGAAGCAAAGTTTTTAATGGTCATAAAGAGCTAAAGTAATAAAATCTGGGACATGGGGAGCCTCGAACGTGGCCGGTTTTCCCCACAGGATGTTAATCGAATTCCAAGACTATGGGAGACTGAAGTTCTGCTTTGAAAGTTTCTGAAAGGTGGACTAAAACTTCACATCCTTACAGTGCTTAGGAATCAAAGACCCTCTGAGGGAAGGAGCCCAAAACAACAAGAGATTAAAAAGCCTTAGGACAGTGGTCCTTTCTGTTATAACATGTCAGAATCACCTGGAGGACTTGTTGAAACACAGATGCATCTGATTCAGCAGATGTGGATGCGATCCATTTGTACGAATTTCTAACATTTTCCCAGTGCTGCTGATGCTGCAGGCATGTGGGCCATACTTTGAGATTCGTTGCCCTGGAAGAAATGGTAAGTCAATACTGTACTTCAGCTTCATACCCCTGTGTGCACTATGCTGATTCTGGGCACAATTAGAAGCTGAGAATCCAAGTTTGCCCCAGCAGAGAAGGCTGCCACTGGGCTAGAGCTTTTTGCACTCATCTAAGGTTGGGACAGAATATTGGAGACCCGAGAGGCTTCCAACATATGGTCTTTCCTATTAGGACATCTGACAAAATTTTGAAGCCGCATGGGCAGGAGTCTAAAGAGTTAAGCCGAACATTTCTTAATAAATAAAAATTGCTAATCCAGGTCTGTCTGAACTAAATGCATGCCTAGACAGAAGGGAACAGTCTACTTCATCTTCCTCACAAAGAAAAGGATAACTCAGAATATGCTGGCAGAAATGAAGTTATAATTATTTGGAACATTTATAGTTCTTTTGTTTGCAATGTTCCAAAAACACTAAAAAACTACTAGGTATGAAGAGACAAGATTATATGATTGATACTCAAGAGAAAAAAAAAAAAAGAAAACAGAAGAAGACTATTGATGGTCCAGATATTGAAGTTAGCAGACAAGGATTTTAAAAATAATGGTCACAAATGTGTTAAATAAGGAAAAAGATGGGCAACAGAGATAAAATATCAGAGAATTTCATCATAGAATTGAAATCTATGAGATAGAATCAAATTTATATTCTAGAATAAAACAGTACAATATCTGAAGTTAAGAACTAGATAAATGGCTTTAACAATAGGTTGGGCAGAGAGAACACAAGATTGTTAGTGAACCTGAAGAAAGGCTAATGGAAATATCAAAACTTAAGCACATAGATTAAAAAGAATGAAAAAACAAACAAACCAGGTGATAGCATAGGAATCACATGAAGCACACTCTAAGGCCTAGCATAGATGGAATTGGAATCTTGGGAGAGAAGAGAGACAACAGGGAAGAAGCAATATCTTAAGTGATAAGAAGTTAAGAATTTTCCAAAACTATTGAAAAACATCAACCCACAGATTCAATAAGTTCAGCAAGCCCACACAAGTTATATACAGAACATTAGAAACAATAGAATATTCTACCAGCTACAAGGGATAAAAAACAGATTCTATTCAAAGCATGAATAATAAGAGTGGCAATAGCCTTTGCAGTAACATAAGTGTAAATGAGAATACAGTGGCAAGCGTCTTCCAAAATTCTTGGGAGAAATTATTTCCAGTCTAGAATTTTATACCCTGCCAAACTATCAATCAAGGGCAAGTGTGGAATAACGGTGTTTTTAAACATGTGAGCTCTAAAAAACAAAATATACTTATTCTTTCTCTATTTTCCAGGAAGTCTTTGGGGAAGGGGGTATGCTCTAACAAAATGAGAGATAAAGCAGGGAAAGACAACTTGGGATATAAGTAACAGGGCATCAAACAAAGAGAAGTTGGGTGTTTGGGGTTGAATGGCCAGAATCTCACCTCATCTGACATGGCTTCCATCTCCTGGAGCTTGGCAATGACCAGGTTTATGCTGCCTCTGAGGTCCTGGATTTCCCCACTGTGATGTCGCACCTTCTGGTACAGACTTGTCAGGAAGGAGTGAGAACAGGAACTCACTGACTTGTGATGCTGCTACTGTTGCCCTCAGATTCTCCCTTTGCTAGTCAGCCCTCAGAGAACTAGACTCAGATTGTTTCACTCTCTTGGGTCCATTCCTGCATGCACCCAGCACGTTCTTATCTCAAAAATATTCTGTTCCTTCTGTTTGGAACACTCTTAAGCCCAGCCCATTCTTTCCAAATATTCCTGAGTATTTTTGTCTGCAATTAAGGGTGCTGCCACCAGGTAGTGTCTTGTTGGTTCAATTATCTTCTCAGCTATCATTTGCTGAGTACTGAGTATAGGCCAGGAACTACACAGACACTTTGCATCTGAGTAGTTCCTGAGTACTAATTACTCAGAGCAAGGAAGGTGTTATGCCTCACCTCATAAATAAATGACCCAGAAAGATGAACTGACTTGCATAAGGTCAGGTAGGATGTATGGGAGCTGGGATTTGAACCCAGATGGGTTGGCTGAGCATCCTTAGCCCAATACACCCAAGATCCTGACTATAGCTTTGGATTTTAGGTAATAAAACACCTATTCAGAAGATTCCTCTTACCTCAAGCTCTGCAATGGACTATTTACGCTGTCATCCTGGTGGATTGTTGAGAAAAGCAAGAGATCTCCTTCAGATTGCTTAAACTGAGCCCAGTACAGCTTTATCTATCCGCAAAGTCCACAATCTATCCACCCATCTACCATGTAACCAAACTCTCACTTATTCTTTTTATATCCATCCACACCCCCATTTATCCACCTTCTCATCCACTCAATCTCCCCAGTCCACCGATTCTTTCATCTCTCCACCTCCCCCATCCATATACCCCCCTATCCATTCACCTTCCATCCATCCACCTGTCTACCCTCCCACTGGCTCACCTTTTATCCATCTACCTATCCACTCTCCCACCCCTCCACCTTCCATCCATCCACCTATCCATCCTCTCATCCATCCACCTTCCATCCATCCACCTGTCCACCTCCCATCCATCCACCTTCCATACATCTACCTATCCACCCTCCCACCCTTCTACCTTTCATCCATCCACCTATCCACCCTATCATCTGTCCACCTTTCATCTATTCACCTATCTACCCTCCCACTGGTCCACCTTCTCATCCATCCATCTAGCCACCCTCCCACCCATCTACCTTCCATCCATCCACCTACCTACCCTCCCATCCATACACCTTTCATTTATCCACTATCAATCCTCTCACCCATCTACTTATCCACTCCACCAGTCCTCACATCTACCCCATACGTCCACAATCTCATTCACCTATTCTTCCATTCTTCTCTTCACCTATCCTCCCATCTCTTTCCTCCTTGCCCTCCACCCATCACATCCAACCCTCCATCCAACCATTCATCCATCTTTCCATCCATTCTGTCTCTAGCCACACTCCCATATGGTCACTTAGTCATTCAACATTGACAGGAGCAACCCTGTGCCTGTACTGAGCTGCACCTTGGTGGGATAAGTCAAACATGGATTCTTCAAGAAGCTGCCAGTGCAGTTGTGGAGACAGTCATGATTGCCAACAATCATAAGAGGAAAGAAGGGAAGGTGATTGCTCCCTCCTGGGCATTTCTACAGGAGGTGACACTTTGGCTGGACCTTGAAGGATATGAAGGCATTCCCAGGGGAAGAGGAGAGGGAGGGACAGGCCTCTCAGGTCCCCTTTCTGAGGCCTTTGGAGACCTTTTGCCATCCTCAAATGGGGGAACCTGGCTACTTATTTCCTTTTCCTTCCTCTCCAGAGACCACAAAGCAAATGGGTATCAATCATCTCATGTAAGGAGAAGAAAAAATTGCCTTGAGCTGAGAAATGTGTTCCCTTTTCTCACCATCCCACTTTAGGTGGGGGCCTTGGGAAAGGAGACATGGGCCACTTCCGGGAGTGAGTGGCAGTAGAGCCATCCCAGGGGAAGAACGATCACGTCCTGTCTTTGAAAGTCACATTTGACAGAAGAGGCAGGTTCTGGTGGGTGGCACGACAAGGAAGAGATTCGGATCTGGGATGAGTCAGGAATTGATTGGGGTCCAGATTTGCTGAGAATGAGGGGAGCTCGGGAGGTGACCGGTGAGACCAGTCAGCTATGGGGCCTGAAGAGGGAACATACTCACCTGCCAGACTTCCATTTTCGATGGTGCATGTATACAAAACATCCAGAATCCTGTGGGGCCATGAGAGAAGAACGAGCCATTTAGCATGGTAGGTGAAGAGTCTAGGTGCCAGAGTTAAGGTGTTGGGTCAGATCCTAGCTTTGCTACTTGCTAGCATTGTGCAACTTTGAGAGAGATTACTTAGTCTCTCTAGACCTCAGTTTCCTCCTCTGCAAAATGAGAATAACATTAATAGCCACTTAATGATCAGATAATATAATGTACGTAATATGTGTCACATAAACCAAATAATCTGTATCTTTTACCCCATCCCAGCCCTACTGGGGCTAACTGGCAGAGAAAAAAAGGCATTCTGCATTTTATAATATCCATGCTGACTGAAATGCCACCATTCAAGATATTATTTAAAAGCTTTTAAAACGCATTTGTGTTCTGAAGAAATACTCAACAAACAAGGAATGGAAGGGCGCCTTCTCAGCTGATCAATATCATCTATGAAAACCCACAGTGAAATCCTACTTAATAGTGAAAGACTAAATCCTTCCCCCTTAGATCAGGAATAAGGCAAGGACGCCTGCTCCCACCATTTCCATCCAACATAGTACTGGAGGCCCTCGCCAGGTCAACCAGTCAAGAAAAAGAAGTCGAGCCGGGCTCGGTGGCTTAGCCTGTAATCCCGCGCCTTGGGAGGCTGAGGTGAGTGGATTGCCTGAGCCCGCGGGTTCGAGACCCGCCTGGGCAGCGAGACCTCATCTCTACAATAAATCAAAAAATCAGCTGGGCGTGGCGACAGAGTGAGACTCCAACTCAAAAAAAAAAAAAAGAAAGAAAAGGAAGTCAGAGGCGTTCAGATTATCACACAGATAAAACTACCTCTGTTTGCACTTGACATGATATAGAACTCTAAGGCATCCAAAGTTAGGTATCTTACCCGTTGTCAGAACTAATAATCAAGTCCTGCAAGGTTGCAGGGTACAAAATCAAGACATAAAAATCAATTGCATTTCTAAACATTAGCAATGAACCATCTGAAAATGAAATTAAGAAACAATTCCATTTCCAATAGCATCACAAAGAATACAAAACTTACAAAGTCATTTAACAAAAGAAGTGCAACACTTGTTCTCTGAAAACAACAAAATATCATTGAAACAAATTAAAGAAGACATAGATATCCATTGATAGTGGAAAGGCAGCCTATGTTCATGAATTGGAAGACTTAATGTTGTTGACACTCTCTTTAAATTTATCTACAGGTCAGTGCAATTCCCATTGAAATCCTATTGGCCTTTTTTGCAGAATGCAAAAGTTGGTCCTAAAATTCACATGGAAACATAAGGGATCCATAACAACCAAGACAATCTTAAAAAAGAGCAAAGTCAGAGAATCCATACTTCCAGATTTCAAAACTTACTACAAAGCTACAGCAATCAGTCCAAGATTGTCCTGGCATACAGCATAGACGTATAGATCAATGAAATAGAACTGACAGTCTAGAAATAAGTCCTCACATTGATGTGGATTTTCAACAAGAGTGTCAAAACAATTTAAATAGTCTTTTTCGTCAATCATGCTGGAAGCACTGACTATCCACTTTTAAAAGAATAAAGTTGAATCCCTACCTCATACCATGTGTAATAATTAACTAAAAAATGGATCATGGACCTAAATATAAAATCTAAAACTATGACATTCTTAGATGAAAATACGGAAGTAAATCTTCATGACCCTGAGTTAGGCAATGATTTTTAAAATATGACACCCAAGGCACAAATGATGAAAGAAAACTGATAACTTAAACTTCATCAAAATTTAAAAATTTGGTGCTGCAAAGGATATCACTAAGAAAATGAAAAGATAACACACAGACAGGAAGAAAATATTTGCAAATCATGTATCTGATGAGGGACTTGTGTCTAGACTGTGTAACGAACTCTTGCAACTCAATAACAAAGAGGCAAATAACCCAACTAAAAAATGAGCAAAGGATCCCATAGACTTTTCTCCAGACATACGATGGCCAGAAAGCACATGAAAAGATGCTCAATGTCATTAGTTCCTAGGGAAATAGGACACCACATCACACCCCCTAAGGTAGCTATAATTAAAAACAAGACAATAGCAAGCATTAGCTAGGGTGTGGAGAAATTGAGACACTCACACTTTGCTTTGCTGGTGAGAATGTAAAACGGTGCAGTCACTTTGGAAAACCGTTAATAGTTCCTCAAAGAGTTAAACATAGAGCTACCGCATGTCCCAGCGGCTCACTCCTGGGGATGTACCCAAGAGAACTGAAAATGTATGTCCTTGTAAAATATCATACAGGAATGTTTATAGCTGTGTAATGTTCACAGCGGTAATAGCCAAGAGGCAGAACAAACCTAATATCCATTCACAGGATGGGCTATTTTCAGTTGTAAAAAGGAATGCAGTGCTGACTCATGCTACACTGTGGATAAGCTTTGAAGGTTTTATGCTAAGCGGGGTGGGGGGGTGAGGGGGGAAGCCACA